CAGAAGTTACTGGCAACACAACGCGGTTGCGTTCTAGATGACGCACCGTGTGCTTGTGAACACAGTGTAAAACAGCCTAACAGCAGCACCTGCTCACACCGTGTGACTTTGGACCAGAATATTCCTGTGAACCACCAAAAAAGTCACCATGGACCACCAGTTGAGAACCACAGCTCTAGCCCAATGAACAGTAAATTATTCAATGAAAAACGGAATCGCTCCAATGGCCAGGACCAAGAGAGCCTGCCCACTCTGGAACATTTACGGAGAGTGCTTCAGATCCGCATTTAAGCCAAGCCCTGCTCCAAATCAGGCAGAATTTGAATTTGAATCCATCTCTCCACATTCTAGGTAAGTGCCCTAACCACAAAGCTATGGACTATTAAAGAGTGGAATGGGTCTGTCCATTACTATAGCCTCTTTTGACCAACACTGAGTGGCTCTGCCTTCAAAGCTCTTTACAAATATTATCCAATGAATATCCCACAAGGCTGGAATCATTATCCCTATTGTACAGAAACTCAGGTAGAGAGAAGTAAGGTGACTTCCCCCAGGCCACAGAGGAGTCAATGCCAAGACTGGAATTAAGATACAGGACTTCTGGGTATAGAATTCTGTGACACTGGGGTTCAGTGGGGGTGAGAAGAGCCGTTGAATAAAAATGGAAACTCTGTATATAATAGAAATCACATCAAGCCGGGAGGTTCTGCTCCACCCCTAGGAACACCTACTTTCAGTGCCTCTATGCTCAGTCTAATAGACCACATCTCTTTCTGTTCAGGTTTGACCTACTTATAATCTACCTGCAATACAATCCAGTTGCTCAGTCACACTAATATGGCTGATCTCTCTCTCAGTGAAATCGCTTTGTAAATATACTGGGCCAGGGGAAGCCTGTGAGTCAGCACTCACTTTGTTTTGTTAGTCCCTCTCGAGTTATAAGCTTGTGGAGCTCTATTTGTATCAAACATTGCGGTTTCACGGCAAACCGACAAGCAAGGCAGGCACTGCTCTGACGTGGCTTTGAGCAAAGGTTTACCTGACTGTTCCTCAGTTTTCTCATATGTCAAATGAGGATAATGATTCATGCTTCTTTTGTAAAGAGCCTGGAGTTTAATGGATGAAAGGCAGTGTGTAAGAACTAGGTATTATTGTTATAAGCATAAAGGGCTAGATATTCAGGCTGGCTGTGTCTACATTGGCATCCCTTTCCGGAAAAGGGATGCTAATGAGACACATCGCAATTGCAAATCCGCGGGGGATATTTAAATATCCCCCGCGGATTTGCAATTGCGATGTGTCTCATTAGCATCCCTTTTCCGGAAAGGGATGCCAATGTAGACACAGCCAGCCTGAATATCTAGCCCTTTATGCTTATAACAATAATACCTAGTTCTTACACACTGCCTTTCATCCATTAAACTCCAGGCTCTTTACAAAAGAAGCATGAATCATTATCCTCATTTGACATATGAGAAAACTGAGGAACAGTCAGGTAAACCTTTGCTCAAAGCCACGTCAGAGCAGTGCCTGCCTTGCTTGTCGGTTTGCCGTGAAACCGCAATGTTTGATACAAATAGAGCTCCACAAGCTTATAACTCGAGAGGGACTAACAAAACAAAGTGAGTGCTGACTCACAGGCTTCCCCTGGCCCAGTATATTTACAAAGCGATTTCACTGAGAGAGAGATCAGCCATATTAGTGTGACTGAGCAACTGGATTGTATTGCAGGTAGATTATAAGTAGGTCAAACCTGAACAGAAAGAGATGACTTCTTCTGAAAGGCTGTGTCTAGACTGCAGGGTTTTTTAGAAAAAAGTAGCTTTTTTTCGTAAAAACTTCACCTGTGTCTAGACTACAGCCGCGTTCTTTTGAAAGTAAATTGAAAGAATGCGGCAGTTTTTTCGATCATGGTAAACCTCATTAAAGTGCTCTTTCAAAAAAAGGCGTTCTTGAATGCAAACAGGGCTTTTTCGAAAGAGAGCATCCAGACTGCCTGGGTGCTCTCTTTCAAAAAAGCGGCTTGCTTTTGTAAAAGTACTGCTTGCAGTCTAGACACTCTTTTTCGAAACAGGCTTTTTCGAAAGTATCTTTCGAAAAAGCCTCTTTCGAAAGAGGCTTGCAGTCTAGACGTAGCCAAAGAGAGTGTCCACACTGCAAAAGTGCATCGAAAAAGCAATCTGCTTTTTTGAAAGAGAGCATCCAGACTGAATGGACACTCTCTCACATGTAAGCTGTGATTGCTATGGATGGAATGGCCACCAGGGTACCTGTGCTTGTTCCTCTTTCTTTTTCTTCCAAAAGAACTCCCTCTTCCCCAGCCTTTTTGCAAAGGAGCACTTTCGTAAAAAGGCTTCTTCCTCATAGAATGAGGATTACCAATGCTGGAAAAAAAAACCTCTGTTCTTCTGATTTTCCTGCAGAAGAACGCAATTGCAATGTCGACATTCCTCAAGTTGTGTCAGAAAAACTGCCATTTTTCCAACAAAGCTCTGTAGCGTAAACATACTCAGTGGCTATAAATGCACTTAGTCTGATTTACATCACTTGGGATTTTGGACCCAGTGCTGAGTCCTAGTTTGCAATAAATCATGTTTATGCTGCACCAGCAAGCTGAGGATTCCCCCAATGGGATGTGGCAAGGCTGGGGGAAAGCCAACAGGTGCGGAGGAGCACGTGGATCGGACAGAGACATCCCAGAGGGGGAAGGTCTATTAATAGAGATTCTCTGTGTTCTAGTAAAAAGGAGAGGATGGAAGAGGATAAAACATGGGTAAGATCTAATGAGAAACAGTGTAATGAAAAAAAAAAGAGTCCCATTCCAGCACATCATGTAATGGCAGACAGCTAAATAGAGACAAATATTTAAAGTGCTTTTATACCAATGCTAGAAGTCTAAATAATATGATGGGTGAACTAGAGTGCTTTGTATTGAATAAGAAATTGATATAATGGGCACCATAGAAATTTGGTGGAATGAAGATTATCAGTGGGACACAGTCATACCAGAGTACAAAATATATTGAAGGACAGAATAGTGCAATGCTGGTGTGTGAGTGGCATTGTATGTGAAAGAAAGCATAGAATTAAATGAAGTAAAATCTTAAGTGAACCAAACTATTCCATAGACTCTTTATGGTTAGTAATTCCATGCTCCAATAATATGACTATAGCAGTAGAATAAAAGTGCTATCAGGCTTAACAACCAAGTAAAAGAACCAGTGAAAGAGAAAAAGACATCATTTAAGAAGTGAAAGTTAAAATCTAGTGAGGAAAATAGAAAGGAGCATAAACTCTGTCAAATGAAGTGTAAAAATATAATTAGGAAGGCCAAAAAAAGGAATTTGAAGAACATCTAGACAAAAAAAGTCAAAAGTTAATAGCAAAATATTTATTCCTTCCCAGAACACTAGAACGCCAAAATGAAATTAATAGTAGCAGATTTAAAACACAAAAAAATGGACATGGGTCTTCACACAACACACAGTCAACCGGTGGAACTCCTTGCCAGAGAACGTTGTGAAGGCCAGGTTTTTAACAGGGTTAAAAAAAAAGAGCTAGATAAATCCATGGAGGACAGGTCCATCGATGGCTATTAGCCAGGACGGGCAAGGATGCCACCCTGTGCTCCGGGTGTCCCTGAACCCCTGACTGCCACATGTGGGGAACCGGACAAGAATACTGAGCTACGTGGACCCGTACTCAATGGGGACCACAACCTGGAAGAAATCTTAACTGAACCAGGAATAACGGAAGTCTCTAAAGTGGGGATCCCCCCACAGGTGCCCAAACTGTAACTCTGCCCCGTGAATTCCCTTCCCCTGAGGCCCTGTTGCTACCCTCTGAGCTCCTGTCTGCCATCTGCCCTTTCCCTCCAAGGCTCTGCCCCCAGGCTGTCCCTTATCACCAAATCCCTAACCTTAGTCACACCACCCAAAGCCTCACTCCTGCATCACCTCTTTATTTGCTCTTAGAGCCAGTACAAAAAGTGATGGAGGCATGTGCCCTCTTCTGGCCTTCAAATAACCCCCAAACCTCACCAAGCAAACTCTCCACAGACCAGGCCACACCAACGCAAAGCAGCACCAGACCCTGCCAGAACAACAAATGTGAAACCTGCAGGCATATCTCCACTGTACTAGTGATCAGTATTCCCCACAACACATCTTTCAAGATCAATAAGTCCGACACATGCGAGGCACCTCACCCACTGTAGTAAATGCTCCAGTGGTTGAAACCAGACAGTAACTATGCTCTTGAATGAATTCACACAAAATAATGACCAAAAAAACCCATTCCATCTGCCATGGGTGAAGACTATTCACAAAACGATCATGCCAACTGTGACCTCGTAAATCCCAACCCTCAAAGGAAACCTGCACAACCTGCTTCAAAAGGTGAGCCTGGGTGCTTAAATTCATAACTTCGCTAAAAAAAAATCATGAATTTAAAAAAGACGCTGGATTTATGACTTACGTCAGCAATCTGTAACCAACTAACCTTTTTTTCCCCTCCAACTTCAGTGGTGTTTGTGGGTCACTTCGTCTTGAATGGACCCTTACAATATGTGTTAGCCAGTTATGCTAAACAATCTGTTCCATCTTGTATATAGCAGTGATATTCTGCGTACCTTTCCCAGCCCTGAAGGAAAGCTCTGTGTAGCTCTAAAGCTTGTCTCTTTTACCCACAGAAGTTGATCCAATAAAATGTATTACATCATCCATCGTACCACCCTCGGGATATGTCTACACTATGCAGCTTTTAGCAACAAGGCTGGCTCAACACAGCCCTCTCACTAAACGATGACACATGTAAATGCTTTTTGTCGGCACTTTTGCCGACAAAATACTTTTGGTTCCAAGTAGCAGGTTTTAGTTTCTTGGCAGCAGAGTGGCCCTGCCAATAAAGCCGCAAGTGCAAATGTAGACACAGCCTGTTTGACACAAAGGTATATTGTTCCCACCCGCAAAAAAAAAAAAGAGTTGTAAGAAGGGTCTTACCTCATCTTTACCTGTGAAAGTTCTTGCTAGAAAGTTTAACAGCTACTGTGCCTTGATGTTCTTGTTCTACGTTTTGCTCCTTGATCTGCCCTTGCAATATTGGAGATAGAGACACATCTTCAAATATCTTCCCTAGAGAACAAAGATGGATTTTTGTTCCTGCACTGACTGGAATGTTCTGTCAAAAATGTAAAGAATATTATTAGCTACAGATATAATTTTATTTTCATAGATAAACAATGACAGAATGTCATTACGGTTTCATACCACTACCCATCATCACAGAATTGGATTGCCTTCAAGGTAAATCAATAGCAATAACAAAGTCCCTGGTGGACTTCAGAGATGCTCTGGCATGTCTCTCTTTATGGAATCAAACCTCTGACTGGATAGAGTTTTTTTGTCATTTTTCTCTCCAGAGAGACTTAAAGGAACAAAGTTGTGTCAATGTTTGCTATTTTTTTCAGAGCTGAATGTCATACCGGTTAGATTACTTTTTGTGAAACATTAGAAAAAGGGTTAATAGAAATGTTTAGATTTAGGGTCAGATTTTCTTGTTCTTCTGTGTGCAGTTTAATCCTTTGGGCAAACTACCTGAAATCCTGGGAAACCATTTTTCCCTTCGATATTCTTTTAAAATCAACCACTCATTTTATTTTTATTTTTTATGTTGGGAGAAACATTTTTCAGTTTTGTATTTACACCTCTTCCTGCTCAGTCTGAATGAGCACTTCTTAGGAAAAGTCATTTCTTCATCAGCTGCAGTGATAGCTTGCTAGAGGGTGTGGTATTTTCATGCTGACGTCTTTCAAACCATACCTGTCTATAAAGGAGGCAGGGAGATACTAAGCTATGCAATACTCAAAAGTAGTTTCCACAGACTGTTGAGATTTGAAGACTGATTTTTATTCTCTCTCTTCCTTTTAAAGATAATAGGGAAGTTGGATTCAGCTACTGATGGCTAATTGCATTGGAGAATAACAGACTGTGTTATCAAACTCTCGATGCAAAACTTGGATTTACAGATTTCCTTAAAATCAAATAAGCACTTTTTTTCACATGCATGGTGGAAATGCTGCAAAAACTCAAAATGAGTTCTGAATTACTCACCAATCAAAACATCAGTGAAAGTGAAATCGAAGGTTTTAGCATGAGCCAAGGATCTCCATTACCTGGGGAAACTGCTAGCCCCGAAAACTATTCTCAACAGAGCCCATCTTTGCCAGCTTCTGGATTAACCGAATTTAATGTTGTGGGTCCCAAGAGCTGTCATATTCCCCGAGTAAAAACCCAAGTGATGTCTGCTCTCACTGGTAAGAATTAACATTTTTTCACATACTTTCAACTATTTTGTGTTCAGTATTGCATTTCTTTGCAAAGCAATACAGTAAGTTGTTATAAGATTAGTGGATTTTCGGTATGTGCAGTAAAAATGCCAAATGGAGAAATATGATCAGTTTATGTAGTTAGCTTATTTTTTGGTTTTGATGTGGCTCATTCCTAAAGGCAAAAGTACTTCAGTTTCTTTCAGACAGTTGCAGTAATATTCCATGATTTGTTTATCCGTCACATTTACTGCTCACTTATTTATTTTTTAATTATGTTTTGTTCTGCATGTAATAGTAATATAGGTCTTGGTGAATGGTTACAGAATTGCATACCAATATTTATAATGAATTACTGCCTTAACGAAATACTTAAGTTTCAAGGCTGCACCTGGGCAGGTAACGTGATGCCTCATCCAGCATTTTTAATACCTTGGAAGAGAACAATAAAATTAATATCAACTTTGCACTTCTCTAGTACTTTCATCCAGGCTGGCAAAGTGCTTTACAAAAGCATTTAATTAAGCCCTAAAATATCTGCCAGAAGCAAGTATGAGTCTCCCTGCTAGAGCTGTTTGAATACTAAACAACTGACTTGTAAGGACATTTTAATCACAGCTAATCTGTCACCTGCTAAGCATTCAGGCATTTTAAAGGAGTCACAAGTTTTAGCCAAAATCAACAATTCATCCCAAAGCATCTACATGCAACTTTCGTTACCTGATGTTCATTATTTTTCACCCTTTTAAAAAAGGAGCAGAAACAGGCCACGTGAACCAAGTCCTTAGCTTGTATAGCCAATTCCCAGGCCACTCCCCATCCCCCGTAGCCTCTGATCTGGTGGCATGTCAAGGGCAGGCAGGAGGTTATTCAGAGCTTACTGAACTCTAGCTATTCTCAGCTAGAGGCAATGGCCAGCCAGAGTAGAGCAGTGATTATAGGATGCACCTGAAAATCTAGTCCTTAAGATAAACTTAGTAGTGCAACCACCAGGTTTTATCAGATATGGCTCCTAATGCCACAGGATCACCTGAGTTACCGATGTCCCTGTCATTCTAGGCCACCATAGTCTTGAGGTTTAATCATGCCTCCTCTTCGGCTTTAGCCTCACATGCACCACAATGAGGTGCCCTTGGAGCCCCAGTAGCATCACCTCTCTCAAATCCCCAGTTTTTAGCAGCCCATGCAGTAAGTCTTGATATAAGAGGGTCATTCTGAACCTAGGCCTTCCATGTGGCACTGTGTTCTCTTTTGATTGGCCCACAAGCCAGAAAAACAATGGACCCTGCATATGGACAAGTATATGTAACAAAATATGATACTTTAAAGATTTTGATAAATGCTGGAGAAATAAGGGTCACTCGAAGGAGGGAAGGGTCCAGCAATGCCTCTCTCGTTGACATCGTTCACCATTGTTACTATTGTCTCTGCCTTTGCTTGCCTCTCCCTCTGCTGCTGCTTGTCACTGTCACTGCTGCCTTTGGGCTGCTTACCACTGTCCTTGCATTGTAACTAGAGGCCTCTTCCTCTAGTTACAATGCTGTGTTCTAAGGTTTCACCATTTAGCCCCGTTTCTGGTGATTTCACTGCGTACAGGGAGCACAATAACAAGTCATTTCCCCTGTATTCAAGATTAAAGTGAACTTTAATTCAAATGAAACCCAAAAGCACTGAGATCATTGATAAGGAAGCATGAAGTATGTTCTACAGCCTTAGCTAAGGGTACGTCTAGACTACCGGGTTTTGTCGACAGAAGTTTTGTTGACAGTATCTGTCGACAAAACTTCTGTCGACAAAGAGCGTCCAGACACATTGAGTTCTGTCGACAAAGCAAGCTGCTTTGTCGACAGAACCCTGTAGTCTAGACGCAACCCTACAGGCAATAACACCTTCTGTCGACAGAACTCTGTCGACAGAAGGTGTTATGCCTCGTAAAATGAGGTATACCAGCGTCGACAAAACTGCTGAGTTCTGTCGACGTTATGTCCACTTTTGTCGACAAAACTCAGTCGTCTGGACACACCCTAAGAGTCAGCATGGTAGAGGTACGTCTCTTTTGTCCTTAAGGTTGCAGGTTCAAACCCACCTGCTGATGATCGGCATCCATCAGCTTTACAGAAAGAAGCCAAAACTGATCACTTTGGCAAAGCAATTCTCTCTGCTGATCAGCTAGGTAAAGTAGATTTGTTGATGCAAATATGGCCTGCTCCTGACATCAGCCCCCTGAAGAACAGAGTTCATGCAGACCCTGTTTACAAGTGTACGCTCTCCATTTATGCCTTTAAGTTGTAAGCTCTTCAGTCAGATTTTTATTTTATTGATCGTCTCTCACTTACTGAGAGCACCCCTGAACTGTTAGTTAGAGCATGTTTATCAATACTAAATAAGGGTAATTCCCTGGCTGCTAAATTATTGAAAACTAGCTGGAGTTACCCGGCATTGCTCGGGAAACCCGAGGAACAAGATGTAGAAAAACAGTTGTCCATTATCTTTTTTTTTATGGTAGAAAAGTTGCACTGATTTCTATAGGGATTAAAATATAGGTCCACGTCATCCCGGGGGTGGGGAGGGTGCGACGTCATCCATGGGTGGAGGGGAGGTTATACGTGAGAAGGACAGCCCAGCTCGCGCCCAGGCCTGCAGGTGCTGTGGGGGGCAGGGCGGGTGCCCGAACCGTTGTGCGCATGGGGGTCGGGGCATTGAGTGCTGGCGCAGGGGAACGGGAAAGGGTCACTTTTGTAACCTCGTGGGCGGGAGGGGGTGAGTCCCGGACGGCGCTGGGGGCTGCAGGCGGTGGGCACGGGACCTAGGGTGGGTGGGGTGGTCCCTGCAGCGAAGCACGGCAGGTTACTTTTTTATTTTTATAGCTTGAGCTCAGGCCTGATCGGGTCCAAAAGTACTTTAAAACCTTCTCCTGGAGAAAAGGTTATCCCATGCAAAGATTGGTTGTGGTAGCTCTTATAGTGTCCAAGTTATTAGCGCACAAACTTACAAACATTCTCCTTTATATATTCGATTCATAACTTCAGACTATATAGAACAAAATGGGAATTTTCCCCAGCTAACAAACCACCTGAAACCACGCATCTGAGCATCTCCTATAGGGCAGAACTACCTCCTACTGTCTCTACTGCCTTGTAGATTTTATTTTGTGACCATTTCTTTTTCAAATAATGTATATTGATTTTATTTCTAGACTCCTCACTTAGCACCATTCCTTCTCACAAGCAGTATGTTGGTGTGAGGGTGAAAATGCCAGTGCGGGAGCTGCTTAGAAAAGTCCGGCTTTCCAAAGGGATGGACCCCAGTGACATAGAGGTAAGAATCAGTGGGAGTTTGTAGAAGACACTACCCAGGAGTGTAACATGATGGTGAAGTATGTTATATCTCTCCTATCCATGGCTGGTATGCAGTGATACCAGCATGGCATTGCTTCCATCCAACGGAGTCACTCCTTTAGGTGAAGTGGGAAAAGATCTGCAGTTTGGTGCTATACATCTGAAATGCAAACATTACTGAGGGACTGGAATGGAGATTTTCCCAGGATTATGGTAATAAGGATCCTTCTCATCCAAAAGAGATCCCCATGTCCATGCTTGGCAAATTTTTTTATCCGCTGAAAGTTGTTAGTATCAGAACTATTTTGCTGATGTCACATTCTGTGAACTAGTTACATTTTTGTAGTGAATGTTACCATCTCAAAATATATTAATTTTTGTTTATTTGCTTATGTCCTTAGGAAGCACAATCGTTAAGAGCAACTGCAGGCAAAGGATCTTTTGCAACATCAGGTACAGAATACTGCTTGGGAGATTGGAAAGTCCACTTCCTTTAGAATGATGCCCTCTCACAAGCACAAGTACCCAAAGAATTGGGTCACAAGCAATGTTCCTGCTAATCTTTTCCATCCATGTGCTGATTTTTTCCATCTATGTGAGGAATAATTTTTCTATGTGCACCAAAGCATATACAAATGTGCACCACCAGAAGAAACATACAGCCCTGCTGCGGGTGGCATCTGAATCTCTGCTGAACAGCTGCACAAGTACACAACTTACAGGGAACACTGGTCACAAGGCTCCCATTCTCAGAAACTTCCGCTGGCTGCCTATTATTGTAAGGATATAAGGCCAGATTCTTATGTGGAATAAACTGTCATAACTTTTTTTTGATAGAGCTATGCTGACATGATGCTGTTGAAGTTATGGTTCTATATAATTCAAAGTTATATTCTTTAAAAAAACAAATAAAAACCCTCTCTAGACTTTGATCCAGTAAGTTTTATGGAGTGTTTCTCTCCTTCCACTTCCAAAACTCACCCAGCAACAGCTTACTTACTGTCCCTTAAAGCACACCTCATATACATCCACCCTCATATACACCCTCAAATACATCTATGGAAACTCAAATACACATTAATGTGCACACTTTTGTGTTCTCCAAAGTTCTTGTCAGAACTAGCTTTGTTTCTTATTCTCCATGGTTGCACCAGAATCACTGCAACTCTAGCAAGGGAGCAAATATGAGAGACACACTGCTATGAATGAAGCATGAGGCATTTTCACTCTGATATTTCCTCTCAGCCATGTATCCTGTGGGGAGAAAGATTTAACTGAATATTATATGCATTTTTTATAATGTAAAATGTTTTTTATTTTTATTTCCAATAGCAAGAAGAAGAGCTCACCCATATTCAGAAAAACAGCTTGGACAGGTATGCATGACACCTTTTATTTTGTGTTCTTTGACTCTCCAGGCAAATCACTTGTTAGTTTCTGAGGCAGAACAGGACAGCCGATGACTGAATTTTGCTTTTATTCTTGGTGTTTTAGAAAAAACAATGTCCCGAGCAAGCACTAAAAGGCTTGGAGGACCTTGATATCCTGGTTGAGGTATTGGAAGAAGATTTGAACAAGAGCCACTCTAAGCGAGAGTCTGAGAGTCCTCTGCTAGCTTGCTGCTCGCACAAATTCTCCCCTAATCTTCCGTCCTCTGGGTGGGAAGCTAAAGGCAACAAACAAACAGCTGTCAGTTCACTGGAAAGGAGCCAGAACCTGACCAAATTACAGCCACGCTGCCCATTTCCTGATTGCAACCCACAACTATGTGGTCAGGCAGAGAATTCATATTTGTCCAATTATAAAATAATGCAAAACCTGGGCACTCTGGACACTTCACTTCAGAGTAAAAGCGAGGAAGAGAACAGCTGGCCGATGCAGGATGCTTTTATGAGTCCCCACAGACATTTCCCGGGGCCTTCGGCACAGGACAGATCTTTCTGCCATAATCCATCTGGATACCATCCAGAGGAGTTCATGGAAGTTGGTGTAAACTCCCGGGACTGTGTGGGACATTTGAAGTCAACTTCTGTTTCCTTCGAACAGCAGGACCTTTCTGCCCTCTCTTTCTTCCAGTTCCAACTACTCTGGGAGGAAAGTCTCCTGAAAAATATCCCAGTTGACAAGCTGCTTGCACTTGATCAAAATGGGAGCAGGTCTGTGACTGCTATCTACTATATATTTTAAAGAGTTTGTGTGTCTGTGTGTCCATCCATCTGTGAATCCATTTGTTCAAGGACTCCTCCTAAATGGTAAGAACTAGGACCACCAAATTCAGCAGGCAGCTTTCTCTTAACATAACTTAAAGCAAAGTCAGGGTTTGGTTGTGCCAGGACAATAACGTGTGTGTGGAATGAGATTGCTTTCTATTAAAGGGAAGAGAAAGGGTGGGAAAGCAGGGACAGTTATACTCATGAATGATCAAAGGAGGTAGCACACGCCCAAGCCCTGGGAAGCAACTGCCAATCAGGGTGCATGGCCCCTGCTGCCCCAAGCCAGCCTGGGGAAAAGAAGGTGGGTGACCTCCACATCCGTTGCTGCCCCCAGGCAAAAGCCAGAGGGTGGTTTGTATGGTCTGGGGCCGGACGTAGGGAGAAGCCAATGGGCACCCTACACAGCCCCGGCTTGGTCCCAGGAAGAAGTAAGTGGGCTGCTGGCTCAGCCCACACTCACCCCCACCCCAGGCCAGCACCGGGGAGAAGCTGGGTAAGTCTTCTAAGATCTAGATCTAGATAGATAAATATCTTGCTTTCTCTTTTCTGAAACCTTGCCAACACTAGGGAGCCAATCCAATTTCAGTCACTGGTGTTATGCAAACCTTTCAGTTTGGTCTACTCCTGAACGAGGTTGACCTAAGGTTGTCACACAGAATGTGAAAAATTCACTCCCTTAGGAGACATAGTTGAGCCAAACTAAGCCGTGGTATAAATGCCAGTTTTCTTTTGAGAGGGTGGATGTACCAAAACAATGGAAAAACATTTGGGATGCTGTCCTGATTTCATCAGTCAGGGTATGTCTACACTACAGACTTTTGTTGGAAAAACGGCCTTTTTTCCGACAAAACTTGAGGAATGTCCACCCTGCAATTCCGTTCTTTTGCAAGAAAACCGAAAGAACAGAGGGTTTTCCAGCATTGGTAATCCTCATTCTATGGGGAAGAAGCCTTTCTGTGAAAGAGCTCTTTCACAAAAAGGCGTGTGTGGATGGGGAAGACCAAGTTCTTTCGGAAGAAGAGGAAATTGCGGAACTACTAACTGTGGTGTGTAACCTATCCTTTAAATCAGCTTCTGTACCTAATGACTGGAGGATAGCTAATGTGATGTCAATGTTTTAAAAGGGCTAGGGGTGATCCTGGCAATTAACTCTAACCTCAGTACTGGGCAAATTGGTTGAAACTATAATAAAGAGTCGAATTGTCAGACACATAGATGAACATAATTTGTAGGGGAAAAGTCAACATGGTTTCTTTATGGATTGCTAAGTGGTTAAAAGTTAGGAAACAAAGGGTAGGAATAAATGTTCAGGTTTCAGAATGGAGAGAGAGTGGTGTCCCTCGGGGGTCTGTACGGGGACCAGTCTTATTCAACATATTCATAAATGATGTGGAGAAAAGGGTGAATAGTAAATTAGCAAAATTTGAAGATGATATTAAACTGCTCAAGTTAAGTCCAAAACAAACTGCAAAGAGCTTCAAAAGGATCTCACAAAACTAGGTGATTGGACAACAAACAGGCACATGAATTTTAATGTTGATAAATGCAAAGTAATGCACATTGGAAAAAATAATTCCAACTATACGTATAAAATTAACTGTTAACAAGAGAGAGACCTTGGAGTCACTGTGGATAGTTCTCTGAAAACATCAGCTCAATGTGCAGCAGCAGTTAAAAAAAAAATCAAATAGAATGTGAGGAGTCATTAAAAAAAGGATAGAGAATAAGACAGAAAATATTGTATTACCTTCATATAAAACCATGGTATGCCCACATCTTGAACTGCATACAGATGTGTCCCACTGGAAAAAGTTCAGGAAACATTTCTTCATGCAATGCACAATCAGCCTTCATTACTCCTTGCCATAGGATGTTGTGAAGGCCAGGACTTTATCAGGGTTCAGCAAAGAACTAGATAAATTCATGGAGATTAGGTCCATCAATGGCAATGAGCCAGGACGGGTACAAATGGTGTCCATAGCCTTTTTGTCAGAAGCTGGTAATGTGTGTGGAAGGAAAGGATCACTTGATGAATCCCTGTCCTGTTCATTTCTTCTGGGGCACTTGTCGGAAGACAGGATACCAGGCTAGATGGACCTTCGGTTAGATCCAATATAGCCGTTCTTATGTTCTTACTTTATGCCCCTGAGAAATTGATATGCAATAATAACCCTTCTTAACATTAACAGGCTGTAAATACTCTATGAATAGATACTTTTTTTATTAACTGGCAATAAAAATGGGTGAAGAGATTACACCAAAACTAAGTGAACTGCTAGTGTGAGGGCAACAGATTTCCAAAGAATCGGGAGTGGCTGCGGTACTGGAACTGATTTGAAGGAAACAAGGTTATTGATCCTATTTCATTAGAACATGTGTTTAAAGAGCAAATGTTTGTTTACCTCTAAAAAAAACAAAAACCAATCAGCCACAACCACTTGATTTCCTTCTCAGCTCAGCCAATTCAAGATCGCTGATGTAAAACAGACCTTCTTTAAAAATCACCCAAACTCTGGAAGGATCTGACATCCTGATTGTCTTTAAATTCAGCCAAAGGGATCCAAACTCAATCTCGTTTTACAGGATTGCAACATTACATGAAACAAAATGTAGTAAGTGGACCAAGGGCTGCGCCGTAGATTAATCTTGAATACAGCAGGAAAATGATAGAAATTGCTCTTTACCTTTGTTACAATAATTGCACTGCCATTAGTTATAAACTACCCACTCTTGAATTTCTGACATCTTCTGTACTGCTTTTTTTTTACATTCCCCCCAAACACATGCACAAAATGTCCCATGACCAGGAAGTTAAAATCCTTATCCATTCCTATTCATGTGGGACTGAAAGGGCCAGATTCTCAGCTGTAATCTTTAATTGTGTCCACAAAAGGTGCAAAAGCAAGGTTGGGTAGGCTAATAACGATATGCATGTACTAGTCCATTCTAATCTAAAGCATAATTTTACACTGAATACTAGGGGTGTGATTCCATTCCCATCTTGCTTCTGCAGAGAGTTGAATTTCACTCAAGAGAAAAACATGTTGCAGTTGGAATTAGGGACTATCTTTCAGTTTTGACATGGAGGGTTTCTACACCACCCCCACCCCCACCCCGCATGGGAGGATGGGGATATGGGGTGCACACACAACCCCTGGCAGGGTGGAAGTTAGGGGAGATTTTCAGGGAATCTCTGAAATAGAGAGGATGGGAGACAGGTGCACAGGGAGCTTTTGGGATGAAATGGAAGTATGCAACTAGTCTCTGGTATGTACAGTGATCTTCACCTGTACACCTACAATGTTTATGTGCCCACTCTCACTCCCTCAGTTAATAGAGAATAAAGAATAAATGACTAAAATACTGAACTGTCCCTGAAAAATAATTGTTCCTTTTGCTTTAAGATACCATTCCTCTGGTTCTTTTAGAAACCTCACCCCCATTGGCCTAATGTTCTAATGCATCATGAACCCTGTCCTATTGCAGGCTCCTGCACAAAGCTGTCACTCAAGGAAGGAGAGCACTGGCTTATGGACTTGCATGGAGATTTGCATCTCTAAACAAAATTGATGAGAAGGATGCAGCAAAACGGGTACGGCACTAACAGGGAAAGAAAACCAGGCACTACTTTAGCACATTAAAGGCTCTCTAAGCAATAGCCAAACATTGATTTTATAGTCCTAGCATCCCCATCAGCAAAGTATAACCACTGTCACTTTACAGATGAGGGAAACTGAGGTGCAGCAGGGTGACATGATTGGCACAAGATCACACAGCAAAGCAGTGGTAGAGACAGGAATAGAACCCAGGAGTCCAGGCAATGTACCCCCACACTTCCTTCCCAGAGCCAGGAATAGACCCTAGAACAGTAGTTCTCTAATTTTATTTTTGCAGACCATTTAAAAATTGCTGAAGGCCTTAATGATCTTTCCAAATGTTGTTTGTACCATTAGCTAACTGTTGTAAAGGCTTTGGATAGAAGTGTTATATTCAAACACAACGGCTATGTCTAGACTGGCATGATTTTCCACAAATGCTTTTAATGGAAAAGTTTTCCGTTAAAAGCGTTTGCGGAAAAGAGCGTCTAGATTGGCACGGACGCTTTTCCGCAAAAGCCCTTTTTCGCGATAAGGGTTTTTTTGCACAAAACAAATCTGAGCTGTCTACACTGGCCCTTTTTCCTGAATGGGAGCAGCATAGTATTTCCGCAAGAAGCACTGATTTCTTACATGAGATCGTCAGTGTTCTTGCGGAAATTCAAGCGGCCAGTGTAGACAGCTGGCAAGTTTTTCCGCAAAAGCAACTGCTTTTGCGGAAAAACTTGCCAGTCTAGACACAGCCAACTTGTCTGGGCAAATGATTTCCATTACATGTTAGCAGTAGTGTGGGGAGAGTTGCCTCTTCCACTCTGCAGCAGCTACCAAGCTGGGGCTGGGAAGGTGGGGGTGTTTTTCCCCTGCTGCAGCAGCTGAGCTCTGCTGGGCAGGAGATAGAGAGCTCTCTCTCCCCTATGCCATCTGTCAGTGATATGGAGCTGGAAAGGAAAGGGCTTTTCCCTCTCTCCCCCTCTGCAACAGCTGCCATCATCTCACTGCCCTTTCCACCTGCCCCTATTCCCCACAATACCACAACCTCCCCTCACATGTGCTTCTTCTCCAGGGTCCAGGGTCCTAATTAGTAGAATCACAACTGTGCAGCTCCACTAATTAGATGGGTGGCCCTTCAAGAAGTCCTGACTCCCAGTGCTCTCCTCTAAATGCTAACCCATGCTGCTTAAAGACTTTTCATTTTCCCACTGTAAATTTTATTTTATTTTATTAGACAGCATTACATCTAGCTGCTGCAAAGAACCAGCACCTGATAGTCAATGATTTGGTTGCTCTGGGAGCCAATGTCAATGAACAGGACAGTTCAGGGAAAACACCACTCCACCTATGTGCAGAGAACGGGTACTTAAGCGTTTTAGAAGTAAGTAAAACTTTAATTAGAGACACAATATAATTACACTATACTATGCACTGGATTTTTCTGTCTGCATTTTGCAAGAGACACATGCATATTCTGCCATGCAAAATGTGAGAAGTCTCTCTGTACATGAGAAATTATGCCACCAGAAATGAACTGGTGTCACTATTGTTACTGTTTCATTGTACTGTAGCAGGACCCAGAGGCCACAATCACTAATTACAATCTCTGCATCGTCCTCATCATTTCAGGTTCTGAAAAAATGCAAAGAAAGCGGCATACACGTGGAAGTGGATATAACTGACCATTACGGTAAGAGATGTGATTTTAACTACAGTGAAGCTTACTGTAGACTCCACTGAGGCTCCAAATTCGGCTTTACTCTAGACTAAGTAATTTTAAACCCCAGAAGTTAGGTAGGAAAATTCTGTCAAGTTGGCAATATTTGCCAGCAACATCCCATTTTGTTGATCCTGCTGGGAAAGGGTGAATTCTTCCCATTCACTGACGTTGGTGCTTTACTATGCCACAGGGATTTAAAAAATGTAGAAGTGGTTCTTAACAGGTAGACACTCTAGGGCAGTGTTTCTTAAACTTTTTAAGACCAAGGAACACCAAACAATAATTTTTTTTATGGGGAACAAGGATTTTTTGTTGAGAAAAAAAAAGCTGGGGAGAAAAAGGGTCAGGAGGAAAGTTATCGAGGGGAAAAAAGGGTTGCGGGAAAGTTATTGAGGAAAAAAAAAGGTCACCTGCCCCTTTAAGGGTGGCCATTTTGAATTCTGTTGTTCTCCGCGGCACATGTCCGACTGTCTCGTGGCACACCTGTGTGCCGTGGAACACAGATTAAGAAACCCTGCTCTAGGGAATAGGTAGACAGCCCTGAGGGAAGAGCCGTGGGAATAGCTAAGCCTGGGAAGAAAGCTTGCATTGAATGTTATCTAATTGTTGGTGGTTTTGTGAAAACCATTATACCCAAGAATTTGGATTTAGTGCCGAGAAAGTGACTGATGTCACACTGGTTCTTCCTATTCAGGTTTAACACCATTTCACTGTGCAGTTGTTGCTCACACGACATTAGCGAGGGAGTCTCAAAAAACCATCATCCACAGTGACATGCGCAAGTTTCTGCAGCTGCGCAAAGATCAAATTCTTGAGGGGATTCATATTTTGTTGCAAATGGGAGCAAGCCCTTGGCTGCAGGTGAGTCTCAATATCAGGTTAAATGACTCATTCACAGTGACGGCGGTGTGTATGTGTCAGAGGGGTGATTTCTCTCCTCAATTTTAGATTCTTTTATTTCATAGGAACCAAAATCATGTCAAACTGCCACTCATTTTGTAAAAATCCAGGGAAGTCAGGAGGTGATGTGTTTCCTCCAACCACATGCTACCAAAAGGAAGGACTTACCTCAGGAAGTAATGCCATTAATTTGGTATAAAGATAATTGCACAGGCTATATAGGCTTAATATCCATAGAGAAAACAAGATAGTTTAAGCTACGTCTATAAGCACAAAGGCTGAAGTTTCAGCTATGCATGGAGGTGGTCCAACCAAAAACGCACAATTTGGGGGAAGGACACGATGGTTGCTTTAATTTACCTTTGTACCCTCCCTATTCTGGGTTATTATGGGGGCTACTCTAATTTACAAAATTCCCCTTCATCACCAGGAATGCTTCCCTTACTGCAAAAGAGTCTCCATCTCCTCCTCTTACCCACACTCAATATCTGGGCTTTAGAAGTCTCCAGTTGAAGGAAGCTGCTGAATTTCATGGCCCTGTAAGCTGCCATAAACATACAGTTATATATAAGAGCTTAATGAAGACAAGGTGTTATTTTACTATTATTTATTCTAACCCATGCCAATGAAATATCAGCACCTCCCAAAGGCCATGCTACAAAAACAGAAAATATTTGAAATGAGGAAGAAGGGTTCTACACTATGTTTTTTCCCGCAAAAACCTCTTCCTCAAAAAGGATTAGAAGATAATATGCAAATGAGAGCACAAGAAATGCTAATGAGTGCTTAATTTGCATTTCCTCTTCCGCAAAAACGATGCAATGTAGACGAAGCCTTAGTGCATCTTGTCAAATTTTTGCCTGGGGTGGGAACCAAGTTTCTCCCCACTGCAAACACTTACTCAGCTGCTTAACTGTCTGCAGAATTGGGTCCAAGGATGAACTCCTGTCCCACTAAAGACAATGGGAGTTTGGCCATTGACTTCAATAGGGTCAGAATTTCACCCTGTCTATTTTTATCTTGCCAAGGACTAAACAACAAACCACTTGTACTTAGAAATAATAATCTTCCTCTGTCCTTCTCAGTCCCTTTTTGACCTCTTCCTTGACTGAATATGCCTCATAAGAGCCTCTTAGCTGCAAAGGTTCCTGGAAAGCTAGCAAGACAATTAATATACTAACAGTGTGAAGCCAATACAAATGATTATTCATTGTATGTGTATGCACAACAGTAAACGTGCCTCCTCAACATTTGTGTTTCTGAGGAAATCAACATGGTGGGGCGCAATAAAAATAATTACAATCCAGATTTTGATGTACCCCATTATTTTTTAATTAAGAGATGACTACACTTGCCATCTTCTGTCCCCTGAAAGTGGCCCCTACACATCAGGACCTGAATGTACCCATAGTGAGGAAATTAGTTTATGGCGATGAGGGAAAATGCTGAACTGTTTTGGATGCTTCATTTGTACAGGGCTGTAGCTTGCTGAATGTACTAAGCGGAGTGACACTTCAATGTTTACAAGAAATTTCTGAGCTTCTTTCCTCTTCATCTTCAAATGGCTTTGGCCATGTTGTTAAAGGTAAATTGTGAGGAAGGCAACTGCACTGCAAAGTTAAGGGCTTCCTACCTCATCAGCAATAACGTGAAAGCTGTTCATCTGTAGGATGGTATCTGCCCCTCAGCATCTCTGCTTATGGCCCTCTAACTCTCCTGTTCGATTGTCCCCTTACCTCCAAATTTAATAGAACCCTAATCTTAGTGACTTCTCCCCTCAGGCTGGGGGGAGGAGTGTTAAGCTGTGGGTGGGTTAGTGCCCACCCACCTTCCTAAGACTCCAGTAGATTGCATGCTTTTATCCAGAGCCAATGTAGTCAAAGAGAAAGATGCCTACTAATTTCAAAAGACTTTGGATTGGGTCCAGAGTTCTGCACTGAAATCACCTTTGCCTGCAGAGACAAGTCAATGTACACTGTAGAATAAACAAAACAAGATTGCTACAATGGAACTGAATGCTTTGTTTGTTTGTTTGCCTTCTAGGGACATGCCTGTAGGCTCATTATCCCTGTCTTGTGTTCCAGGCTCCGCAGCTGTTGCTGAGGAACAGCCAGAGAACAGACAGTAAAAGTCTTGAATTTGTTAAAGCTTGAACTACTGATGAAAACACCTCCTCAGAGCCCAGGGCTGGATTAGTAGAAATTAGAGGGAAACGCTCCAAAGACATTTTAAAATTCAGGCATCTAACGTTAGGTGCCTGAAGTACATGGCTTAGTTTTCCAGAGAGTTAAACACTCTCCACTCCTGGTGAAGCCAGTTCAAGTTCGGGAAGCTCAGAACTCCAAAAATTGGGCCATTACAATATAAGTGTCTAATTCTGAAAATGGCGACCATAGATCTCTGGAGTCCAAATTCCTCAATGCCAGTAGAAGATTATTCCCTACCATATGTGTTTAACTTTCAAAGGTGAGCACATGCCATGACATTTAAAGTCAATGGAAACTCCAAGAATAGGGACATCACATATTTTTAAGGCACGTGCTGAAAATTTTTTACATCTGAGCATGCGTTTTCAGCTAAGGGCAAGTTTTTTATAGATACAATCAGAGTTTATGACAGTAAAAGACTATAATATTTAATTAGTCTGGATCAACGAAATAAAAATTTCTTCCATATAACTTTATATATTTACTCACAATATTAAATGTCATCATTATACCAGGTACTTTTCAGATTAAAACAAATCAAACTGGTTATCACTGAATAATTGGGGATGTTAGGAAATTGGGGATGTTAGTAACTCCTTCCTGAAAACCTCAAATCCTGTCTTCAGAGTTAGTCTCATTTTATTATAAACTCTGATTATGAATTAGCTGGTTTCTATGAAACTTCCTTGTTTGCTTCAACTGGAGCAATATATAACTCAGAAAAGGACTGATCACAGCAGTCAATTCATCTCTTTCTCTCTCTCATTGAAATAAACCGGAGAGTTTTTATTCATGCGTAACCATTGTAGGATCAGGGTTACAGATAACAAGTTATTGTTAATGTGATCTATGTTCTCCTATCTCAGTTATGTCTTTTGCCTTTTGTTCTTAATAAAGGGTTTCATTCCTCTCATTGAATATTTTTGAGTATTAAGCTCTGAGAGCTACAGTTCAATAGATGATGGATCAATCCCATGAAAATAATAATAATTTCAATTAGTTGAATAGTGATAGAGATGTAGCCGTGTTAGTCTGGTGTAGCTGAAACAAAATACAGGTCTATGTAGCACTTTAAAGACTAACAAGATGGTTTATTAGATGATGAGCTTTCGTGGGCCAGCTGGCCCACGAAAGCTCATCATCTAATAAACCATCTTGTTAGTCTTTAAAGTGCTACATAGACCTGTATTTTGTTTAATAGGCTTTGGATGAGGCCTAACTTACCTTTAAATCATCTAAACAATGTTCTTATATCAGGATTTTATTATATTCGGATTTTATTTTACCCCAGAGTGAAGAACAGTCTGGAAAAGAATTAAAAGCTATACACCAGAACTCTTGACTACAGGCAGTCCCCGGGTTACGTACAAGATAGGGACTGTAGGTTTGTTCTTAAGTTGAATCTGTATGTAAGTCGGAACTGGCGTCAGCCGCT